AATTCAATACACAACCACATGGTCAATCTACAATCAGGCTGCTGATTCCAACCACATAGTCAGTCTAAAACCATGCTGCTGATTCCAACCACATGGTCAGTTCAGAACCACACTGTTTGATATCAACCACATTGTTAATACACAACCACACTGTTTGGTATCAACTACAAGGTCAATCCACAATCGTGTGATTTCAAAACATGATCATGATCAATTTACTTTTGATATGTGATATATGTTGTACACATGTTTTTTTAAACCTTGCACAAGTTTGATTGATTCCATCAAAGCCAAGTTTGATTGATTCCATCAAAGCCAATTAGGGAAACCCTCACAAAAACGACAAGGTGTATGGTTAGAATCAAACATGATATTGATAAGAGGACATCATACTGGTAACATATATACAAATATGTTGTACAAATTTCAGAAATTGCTGTGCTACTTATAAATGGGATTTCCCCCTTTCCAAAACATAAAAGGGGACATCAAACGTCACAAATTGACATAATTTAAGATGCTACTTTAAATACATATAAATAAATATATAAAAATTTTAATGATATAAAAATAATTTAGAAAATAAAACATAAACGTACAATAGTATAATGCATAGGCTTCTTATGTTAGATTTAGCATTTGGTATAAATTGTATACGAATGGGAAAGTAAATACCCTTGGAAAGTAAACGCCCTGGGAAAGTGAATACCCAGAAGTTGTCTATTGTACATTGTTGGGTTGTAATGTTACAATGTGGGGTTGTAATGTTACAATGTGGGGTTGTAATGTTACAATGTGGGGTTGTAATGTTACAATGTGGGGTTGTAATGTTACAATGCGGGTTGTAATGTTACAATGCGGGGTTGTAATGTTAAAATGCGGGTTGTAATGTTACAATGCGGGGTTGTAATGTTAAAATGCGGGGTTGTAATGTTACAATGTGGGGTTGTAATGTTACAATGTGGGGTTGTAATGTTACAATGTGGGGTTGTAATGTTACAATGTGGGGTTGTAATGTTACAATGTGGGTTGTAATGTTACAATGTGGGGTTGTAATGTTACAATGTGGGGTTGTAATGTTACAATGTGGGGTTGTAATGTTACAACGTGGGGTTGTAATGTTACAATGTGGGTTGTAATGTTACAATGTGGGTTTGTAATGTTACATTGTGGGGTTGTAATGTTTCAATGTGGGGTTGTGATGTTACATTTTGGGGTTGTAATGTTACAATTTGGGGTTGTAATGTTACAATTTGGGGTTGTAATGTTACAATTTGGGGTTGTAATGTAATAGTTATAATAAGGGGTTCTAATGTTACCATGTGGGTTGTAATGTTACTGTAACGGACTATGTTTTCACATGTAAACAGAGAGGTAGCATGAGTGGACAGTGAGTGTGTTCACCAGGTTTTTCCACGGGGAGAGACAATCAATGTGGATTGTATTTTTGAGAACAAATGTGAACTCCACGTTTTTGGAGAGTAAAATTATGTTTTTGTCAGAGCGGTTGTTTTGCACGCTTTGCTGGTAATAAAGTATGAGTTGACTGAGATAGTAGAGAGCTGAGCGCAGAGCAGTAGAGTCAGTCAGTAGCGTGAGAGCTGTGAGATTAGACAGTTGAGCTGAGTTATAGTAGTCTGAGGACGTGTCTTTCTTAATGATGGAATACTATAGATATATATGTGAAATTACATTCATGCAAGGATTATTTATTAATATTATCAATATAAAGTGTGTTCAATAAAGTACTGTGAGTTTTAACTAGAATTGAGCATTCTTCTTTACGTGCCTGAATAATAAGTGAAAGAATGAAGAAGACTGAGTCGGCATCCTGAAGCGTTAATATAAGTAACCATACTACTGACATAACCCACAGCATAAGAAATAACATCCCACGCCATGTCAGAGTAGAAGTGTGTTACAAATGGTGTCAGAAGCGGTGTAACGACGATGCGTTACAAATATTGTCAGAAGTGTCAGAACAACGATGTATTACAGAACATTGAGTAACAACGATATATTTTAACAGTCGAGTGAAGCATACATCGAACGTCATTACGCCCGTGTATGAGTCAAATCTGAGAAGAGTCCACGACACACAGAGCAAGCTGACAACGATTGAATTTAGGTCAGTCACGGGAGTCAAAAGTTCAGAGTGCAAACAGCTAACTGGTACACTGTTTCAATTATATAACAGTGGAGTGAATATTCTCGTGGAAGAAACAGCAAGAAATCTATTTTACAGTTATTAGTCAACGAAAGAGATGATCCACACAAAACCAAAAGAAGTCTGATGTCATTACAGATGAGATGTTTTATCAAGACAGCGGAAGTAAGATTTCCCCAGCATAATCTTTACTTATACAAGCCGCACATAGCCTAGTGCGCAATGCAAGTCAAGTAATTCTTCAAGTAATTCTTCAATTACTCACAAGTGCAACAGAACCGGAGAGAAATTAGACAATTTTCAATTATTGGATTATCACAATTACACTATTACGCAAGGTACTTACATTGGAGTATTGCAGCAATTTGTGGTGTAACTTTTCTCATTGGATTATTTTACCCAAGTACACTACCACATAGGATTATCTACTACCTAGAAGGAGCATCTACTACATAGGATTATCGATTACACAGAAATCATAGCGTCACAGAGGAGCAGAGGTGACCAACTAAAGATTTCTTTTGGACACTTTCACTTGGTATTTATGTATATTATGTTATGTATATTATATATAATTTAAGACTTTAAAAATCTACTTATATCATACTTAATTAGATTAAGTAAATTTTTTACTTTTTCTGTGTAATATAAGTTTAATTTTAGAGGATACTGTAGGGACATCCACGGTGTTATCTTTCCTAGGGAAGTTTTTTTATTAAAACGGTAAAGGTTTCTTCTGGCCCTATTTATAACACTGTAGGATAATTTTATGTTAGCTGTGAAGTCTAGTTTGTACATTGTCATAACTGTTGTTTTTTAGTAGATCGTGTCATATTTGTACTACTTGTCTAGTCATTGTTATACATATTGTCAACCTACTGTCATATTTTCTACTATCTTGTGGTCCATAAACTACACAGTACTTTTGTATTTGTTGTCTCATTTGTATTCATGTAAACGTCTACATATCTGTATTTATGTTGTGAAGTAGACAATAAAGTAGTTAAATGTCTCAGAGACACTGGTTGTACAACAATAGTTGTAGATAGAAAATTAGTAAATGACAACTACTACACAAATGAAAAAGCCATAGTTATCTTAACCAACAATAATAGAATAGAATGTAAGAAAGCTAGAATCAAAGTTGATTGTCCATGGATCACAGGATCTGTAACAGCTGTTGTAATGGATAATCCAGTGTGTCCATTAATTATTGGCAATATTAAAGAACTAGGCAATAACAATAAGGATCGAATAACAGAAGGGATAAGAGGAAGACATTTAAACATAAATCCAATACATAGACAACATAATAAAGGAATTCTTAATAAAACATATACAGAACAAAAATCAGACAGGACAAAACACATTTTTAGACTAAATTCAAGAAATATTCATCAACAATATAGACAGGCTGAAAAATTCAAAAATGAAATAAAACACAGAGAAAACAAGTTTCTAGATGAACATTACACAACTACAAATAACAATTTTATGGAAAGAGATAGACAAAGAGATAATAACAGATCACAATTATCATTTTCTTCAGTGCGAGGAAATACTTAACATTTCATTTTAGCTAACCTAGCATAACACCTTCTCAAATCAATTATTAGCTGTCAAGAGAAATTTTTTTTCAAATATGGTAATTGTCAATACAGAACTAATTTATAAATTGTTTACATTCTTGGTCAACTTTTTCATAGACAATGACGATAACATTAAGGTTAAATTGAGCATGAAGAGCATTAAAATACATTCAACCATTTTTTTGATAAGACACTTGTACATATCAATTTTTGTAAATGAATATCATATTTTAACCGATTGTAAATTTTCTAATGCAAAATTTAAGATTGTTACATTCATTTTGCAGTGTTTATTATTCATTAAGATGTTAATGTCACTTCACATTATCATACATAAAGATTTTAAGAGGTTGTCATTGGTGATTTTGTAATTTTTTGCCAGGGTAAATTATTCACTAGTAAAAGGCCCTGTATTTCATAATGATGAAATGTTAATGTTGTTACACTGATTTGATTGTTAGATGTGGCATTGAAATTTTCTAAGAGACATTATCATTATTTCAACATATAATGCCAAAAATTTTGTTGCACAAAATTTTTTCAGATGGGTGGGGCATGTAACGGACTATGTTTTCACATGAAAACAGAGAGGTAGCATGAGTGAACAGTGAATTGTGTTGACCATGTATTTTGAGATACAAATGTGAACTCCACGTTTTTGGAGAGTAAAATTATGTTTTTGTCAGAGCGGTTGTTTTGCACGCTTTGCTGGTAATAAAGTATGAGTTGACTGAGATAGTAGAGAGCTGAGCGCAGAGCAGTAGAGTCAGTAGCGTGAGAGCTGTGTGATTATACAGTTGACAGTTTAGTGTGAGGACGTGTCTTTCTTAATGATGGAATACTATAGATATATATGTGAAATTACATTCATGCAAGGATTATTTATTAATATTATCAATATAAAGTGTGTTCAATAAAGTACTGTAAGTTTAACCAGGATTCAGTATTCTTATTTGCGTGCCCGGATTATAAGTGAAAGAATGAAGAAGACTGAGTCGGCATCCTGAAGCGTTAATATAAGTAACCATACTACTGACATAACCCACAGCATAAGAAATAACATCCCACGCCATGTCAGAGTAGAAGTGTGTTACAGTTACAATGTGGGGTTGTAATGTTACAATGTGGGGTTGTAATGTTACAATGTGGGGTTGTAATGTTACAATGTGGGTTGTAATGTTACAATGTGGGGTTGTAATGTTACAATGTGGGGTTGTAATGTTACAATGTGGGGTTGTAATGTTACAACGTGGGGTTGTAATGTTACAATGTGGGTTGTAATGTTACAATGTGGGTTTGTAATGTTACATTGTGGGGTTGTAATGTTTCAATGTGGGGTTGTGATGTTACAATTTGGGGTTGTAATGTTACAATTTGGGGTTGTAATGTTACAATTTGGGGTTGTAATGTTACAATTTGGGGTTGTAATGTTATAGTTATAATAAGGGGTTCTAATGTTACCATGTGGGTTGTAATGTTACAATGTGGGGTTGCAATGTTACAATGTGTGGTTGTAATGTTACAATAAGGGGTTTAAAAGCTTAAATGTGTGGTTGTAATATGACAATGTGGAGTTTTAATGTTACAATGTGGAGATGTAGTAATGCTAAATAACAGGAGGAGGTTACCCCATCAACGTGGATATGTGGAAACTTGATCAGTAGAAAAAAGTCAAATCAGTAGAAACCAATATCACAATCAACTGTCCTGACAGTCACACCAACAGACAGGCTGTGGTCAACGCAATGCTGATGAAACTCGATAGATCAATACAGGGTTGTGTCGTCATTTAAACAGCAATGAAGTAAACACACACACTACGTTACACTCTACTCAATTTATCCCCCTTTTTGTTTTGATATTGACATCACCAATTCAATGTGTACCCCACCCAACCCTTCCTTGAATGGGATAAGGTTGTTTATGTTCTAATTTTTTGCAAAATGAATGATATCGGATGATGCAATTTCGAGAATTTCTTCTCTGGGAAAAGGAAGGTGTGTGTGTGGGGGGGTGTTGTTGGTTCCATTTCTCTCCCTATAAATTATAAATAAGCCGCCATCTTTCATAGCCCGAAGAGATTTTTGCTTATTTTCCTGTACATTTACAAGATGTAATATACGTATCGTGTGTGTATATGTTAATATTTGTATCTCTTGAGGATGAAATACTGAGGTGGAATATATTATGAAATGGAAGGAGATGGCAAAAACATCTCATTAGCCCAAACAACCACATCCCATTAGCCCAATTAAGAAGCATAATATGCTTTGTTGTGGTTTGGCCAGAACTCTCTGCCCCTTTCCTTCTACTCAATACTCACACAAACTAATAGAGAAATCAACAGAGATATCAAGTTTTAACAAAATCATTGCCAGCAGAGTAAAACAGAGATGCCCTTACTTTTGTGATAATTGCTGATTTAAATGTGGCGACATGCAAGATCACTTGTATTTGGAATGCAAACATAAATAGAGAAGCTCAACCCAAGACTGATAAGAAAAGTGCTACCAATGCCTTATCCAGTAATGCTTATTTACATATACTGAGTTGTGAACTGCATAGACACGATAGGGTACGAGAAATAACGAGTTGAATTGCAGAAATGCTGTTAGTTATAAGCACTTTGAATTGACCTGGGACAGTAAGCCGCACAAAGCTGGTTAACAAGTTATGTATGTAATCATGGCCTTCAATAAATCATAACGACAATCTGTTTTTATTGCGACAGACATGGAACACTTTAAAAAAAATGATGAAATCTTAGTTCTCTACCTTCAATTGACCAGGCCTAGACACAGCAGTGTCACCAGGCCTAGACACAGCAGTGTCACCAGGCCTAGACACAGCAGTGTCACCAGGCCTAGACACAGCAGTGTCACCAGGCCTAGACACAGCAGTGTCACCAGGCCTAGACACAGCTATATTACCATGTTGAGACACATGTATTACCAGGTCCAGACACAGCTGTGTTACCAGGCTGTCTTAAGCATATATCATTATCAATAAGAAGCATTGTTTTCCTCTTAGTTATTTCTACAGAATTGAAAAGATTAAACATCTGTAAAAAGTTTTTGATTCTATTCAGCATGATTCCCACCACACAAATACATTCTAGATATCTTCAAAGTCATTCTCACTGTCTGCCAGTTCAGCCGAGTCTTCCAAGGTCAAGGACTTGAGGCTCGTCGCTCTCGGGGACTGAACGGTCGTACCAACATTCCTCCGCAACCTGGACCATCAGAGAATCAAATTATTATTTTTTAATTAGAGATAAATATTATCTGAATAAGGCAAATATTATCTGAATAAGGCTTTGTATTTTTAAAAAAGCTACAGTAATGCACTAAATATATGCCTCTCTGTTTACTGATAGAGCAAATAGTCTTGTAATTTAGGGGCCTTTTTAAAAAAAAAAAGTTTGGCCAGGTTAAGTAAAAAGCTAAGCCATCTTGATGATGCACGGAAATAGTCAGGCTGTATACCAGTAAATGAACAGTGATGCTTAGCACTGCTGTGAAATTAAGATACCGTGCCACCGGTGTCTAAACACTACTAAGAAGGCCACCAATGTCTAAACCAGGGGTGGCAAACACGAGGCCAGCGGAGCTAGGTCAAATGAACATAGATGTTAACATTATTGTATATATCACCAAAAGAACATTATATCATGAGTCCTTGGTTTCATAATTTTTAAACAATAGCTAAGAGAAACTTAAATATCATGCAATTTATTTTTGAATTCAAGGATGAAATGGTTAAGGAAGGTACGGAGAGCGTCGTTGAAATTCTATGTCCGCAAAAGAAGGATTTCTAAAAAAAATAAGTCAGTCTCGCCAGACTATTAAGTCTGTCTCGCCGGACTATTACTAGGCATGTGGACAGCACTAGAAAATATATTGAAGATAATTTGAAAAAGTGAGCATCCAAGTTTTTAAAGCACAGATTTGGCAGGCACTGCCCAACAGTAGTAAATGCTTCACTGAGCCTCGGTGTCACACAGTCCAATAAAAACAATCATTCTTCCCACAAACAATAATTGCTTGGAACCAACTGGACAATGCCGCTGTAGACTCGACATTAATTGAGAGTTTTAAGGCTGCCCTGGCACCTGCTAGGATGCGGTAGGATAGCCACATCGTTTCCCAAACTGTTACACATATCCCAGATCATGGATGCAGCAACATACGCTATCAGCATAAGAAACTGGCAGTTTTTATCAGGGGTGTTGATGTCCATTTTAAAAAGACAGAAGAATTAGCGGCACTGTATCCACTTAAGGACTCTGCTAAGTCACAAAATTTGTAAGAGGCAGTTACATCGACATTGAATCGCTCTTTGTTACAGCATACCAACTTATCGGTCTTAACAACGGATAATGAGTAATGATTTCTTTAAGTTGAACGGGTTGAATCACAGTCAGTTCCGAGAATTTCTAAAGTGTTTGTACTCAGATTATAATCATGTTACATTTAAATTTAATGCAGAAGTAAAATGGCTGACCGTGCCGAGATGTTGACAAAAGTGTTTGATTTGCAGCAAGAAATACAATCATTATTATTACAATACGTATTCCAGAGTTTGAAGAAAAAGAGTGGCTTTGCGATTTTGCATTTCTGGTCGATATAACTAGCCACCTAAATGACGTTAATACTTGTCAATTAATTAATAAGATGTATGCTCATATTTCTGCATTTCTTCAAATGAAACTTGGTCTTTGGGAACAACAGTTGAGGACAAAAAACTTGACCCACTTTCCTACATTGTCATTTTCAACCAGAGATCACTCAGGAGGCGGCGGATAAATACGTTTCTTTGATATCTAACTTAAACCTAGAATTTGAAAACCGATTTCAGGATTTTAAAAACATGTGCTTTTTTGTGCTTTGCAACGCCATTCATGGTAGACATGAATTTATTACCAGGAAGATTACAAATGGAACATTGCGATATGTGTTGTGATACACAGTTCAAGGAGAAACTCCATCAGTTTGGTTTGGAAGAGTTCTATAAAATGTCTTTGGACAAGGATAAATATCCTGAGTTTTACAAACATGCACTGTTGATGGTTTCACTATTTGGAAACACTTCTGTGAGTGAACAGCTTTTTAGTCATATGAAGCACATCAGATCACAAGTGAGGACACGAATGACTGATGTTCATTCGGCAGACTGTTTGCATTTAGCGACAACATCTGTCGAGATCAATTTTGATGCACTTAGTTGTGCCAAACACTTATTTAATATTTTTAAATTTTCCGATAAACACGTTTGATGCTCATTTATCTTTTACTTTCTTCAAACAAAAAAATACACCTATTTCTTGTTTTTGTTTACATTAAACCTGGGAAGCATTTGAAGACGATCTCACTTACTAGAAAGTGACAATGTGGTCGAAGCTAATTTTTTTAAAAATTAGGTGCCCGGCCTGGCAGGAAATATTATTTCTGAAATCTGGCCGCTTGCTGAAAAGTTTGGCCACCCCTGGTCTAAACACTGCTGTGAAAGCCACCTGTGTCTAAACACTGCTGTGAAAGCCACCGGTGTACAGTTTCTAGATGTATCTCTGGTGTTAAGTCATGTAACTAGTACTTAGTTGGCGGAGTGCTAGTCTTTAAGTTCAAGCATTTGTTTGTACAATTAAAGACTGGGTTAGTGTGACCCACTTTACCTGTTGAATTCTTTCACCCATCGCTGCAGCATTTAAAATAATAAAAGATGGGCATTTAAGCAACAACATGGCATTGTTTATAAAACTAACTTTTCAAAATATGGAGCAATTCACTTCATTTAACTGATCCCACTAAATGTAACAAAACAAAAATCTTAGACAGCATTTTAAAAAATTAGCGGATAACTTAAAAAAATAGAATTATTGTATAATTAGCAATAATTGAAAATAACAAAGAACAAAACCTTTGTGTTTTACTCAGCATAAATTATTTATGGTGAATATTTCAGCATAAAATATTTATAGTGCATAATTTGCTTAAGAGCTCGTCAGTAACAAACATATAGGTCAGCAACAAATTTATAAGTCAATGACAATCTGATAAGTCAGTGACAAACTGATAAGTGAGCGACAAACTAATAAGTCAGTGACAAACTGATAAGTCAGCAACAAACTGATATATCAGTGACGAACTGATAAGTCAGCGGCAAATTTATAAGTCAATGACAAACTCATACAACGTTTTACTGAGTTGGTATGAACAGGGACGTAGCCATTTCATTTGAATATGCAAAGAGTTAGCTCCTAACATCTTGGCTAGTTCACCTATGTCTTCCGACAACAATCTAGTTCAGACTTCCACTTTGTTTGCCAGGTGGATGATGATATCAGCTATCTGGTATACAAGTCCATGAACTGAGTCAAACTTTTCACCAACTGATCAGAGCGTCCGAGCACTGATCTTGGTGTTTGCCAATGTGACAAGAAACTGTCTTTGTAACATTTAGATACCTCGTCTGGAGGTGTCTTCCAATTTGACTAGACATTGTCTTAGTTACCTTGACTGCAGGTGATTGACCTGAACCTGCAGACTTTCCACCTGAGCTTGTAGTTCATCGTTGGTTCTCTGAGCTTTACGGGCTGCATTGCCTTGGTTGTCAACCTGGAACATATGTTATGTCAGTCAATAATGTCATTACACAAGCACATCGGGGTCAATGTATTATTTTATAGCACTGGCCAGTGCAGAATGTCATGCAATGAATGATGTCATTACACTAGCCCATCGGTCAGCAAATCGCGGCTCGCGGCGGCTCCGCCAGCCTAGCGACCTGAGTGCGGTTCGGCCAGTCGGCCACAAATCGGTTTTGACTCCGTAAAACAAGGTTATTGACAGGTTCTTGAAAAGAAATTTGGCTCTCACAAATAGTTTAATTCTCCTGCTGCTGATTTTTGGCTCTTTTGACTAATGAGTTTGCCGACCTCTGCACCAGCTCATCCAGGTCAATGTATTATTTTATAGCACTGGTCAGTGCAGTTGGTCAGTCAATGATGTACAACGTTAATCTAAAGCAGTGGTTCCCAAACTTAATGAATCACAGAGTTCTTTTTAGAACAGATTTCTCTGGTGGAGCCCTTTTATTATCCTAACCTATGTCTGGCAAATTAAAGGTGTTAAGGAGTTTCCTGAAATCGCCAAGGATCCCATCAGAGGTGCATGCAGAGCAAGGAAAACACATCACTTTCCCTAAACGTGACAGACCAATGATGGATATTAATAAAAGTGAATTTTGAGTTCTCATGGACAACTATGAATTAAATCTGAAACTATGGACTGACCGCTGAAACTAATGATTTAAACCACTGACCATTGAATCTAATGAATTACATCACTGATCAATGAATCTAATGAATTACATCACTGATCAATGAATCTAATGAATTACATCACTGATCAATGAATCTAATGAATTGC